CCACTTGAGCCACAGCGCCACTTCTGGCTTTTTTCTTTTTGCTTATGTGGTGCTGAGGAATGGAACCCAGGGCCTCAGGCATGCAAGACAAACGCTCTACCACTGAGCCACCTTCCCAGCCCCCACAGCTTTTTCTTGTTAGGGCAAATTACCTTAGATTTCTGCGGAGAGTTTTGCAGCCATGTTCAATACTTTCTTCATTCTGTTTTGTCCCTAAAATTTAATCACAAAAAAATCACTGTGACTTATTCAACGTTATAAAAAGAATCATCCCATTGCAGATGTTATTATATTTTATGATCATTCATGGCCTATTCACCCCAGTATTCCATTCCATATTCCAAATGGTCCAGCAGCACTGAAGAGCATCCCAGTCATTCGTGGATTAGAGGAGCATCCCAGTCAGTCGTGGATTAGAGGAGGGAAGCTGTGCTTACCTACAGCAGCCAGGTTCCTGAGTGTTTCCCACATCACATGTCTGTGGAGCTTCTTTTGGGGAGAATCCAACAAAGCCCATTCTTCCAGTGTAAAGGTCACAGCAACATCCACAAAGGTCACTGGATCCTACAATAGCCCACACGCATACCCGTAAGGAATAATGAAAGCCACAGCACTGTAAATAAAGACTCCCAAGAATTTCACATGATGATGCTGCCCCTTCCCCCCATGACTTCTCACACGCTCTCACACAGCAATTCTGACAGGAGTTGGGAGCCATTTGGTAATTAACAGCAGAACATGGGCACCTGTTTTGTAAGCAGTTCCAACAATTACACTTGGGACACTGAGACTGTAGCACTGCCCAAGGAATTCCTACTTTAGTTCTTGTGAGAGCAAAAGCAGCTATTTTGAGACAAAATTATCAGAAGGGTGACAACAAAGGTTTGAGACAGGTTTTTTACTATGTAGCTCATTCTGCCTTGAACTCAAAATCTTGATGGCGTTTCCTCCATATTTAACTATCATTTTCTTATTCTAAAGATTTTCTGTGAGCCGGGTGCTCGTGGCTTACGCCTGTAATCCTAGATACTCAGGAGGCTGAGATCTGAGGACTGGGGTTCAAAGCCAGCCGGGGCAGAAAAGTCCCTGTGAGAGTCTTTTCCAGCCCAGGCAGGAAAATCTGTGACTGTTTTTGTTTTTTCACTCAAGCGCTCTACCACTTGAACCAGAACTCCATTTTGGGCTTTTGTAACTGGAAATAATCCTTTATCTGTTGAATGGCTGGGTAGGTTTCTTTTTCCATTCTATGGAATGTCTCTTGGTTCACTGTATTCCCAGGGCCACCTGGATTGTGACCCTATTTGAGGCTAGGAGGTCAGATAGGCGCCATCACACCCAGCCAGTCATTGAGAGGGAACCTCAAGAACTGTTATGCCAGCCGGGC